GCCGGTATCGCGCACGGGACCCCCGAGGAGCCTCCGGGACCCCCGGGAGGCTCAGGGGCAGCCCCAGCTGCGGGCCCCCCGCGGGGAGGGAACAGCCCCCCAGCCCTTCCTTCGTTTAAACTAAAGTGTGGGGGGATCTGGTGTTTCGATCTGATTGACTTTAACCCAGAAGAAGCCCTGCTGTCCTCACCCCATTTATTTTGAGCTCAGGCAGCTGGTTGGTGCAGCATCAGCAGTACTGAGTGTCTGCGTGAGTCAGTGCACGTGGCTTTGATCGCTGTTTTGCAGGACTTGAAGATATTTACACATACTTCCTTGCCTCTTTGATCTGCCCCTTCCCCTGCCACTCAAACGCATGGCCCTGGTGTCCCAGCAGACCAGGCAGGTGACTGAGCTGCTGAGCCAGAAGCCCTTCACTGCAAGGGCTTATCACTTCATTAAAGGCAGGGTAGGGACAAGAGCAAAACTCTCCCAGGGTTACCCCAGGCAAGTATTTTCTGCATCACAGACTGAACTCTTTGTATGAACCCATAATGGTGTGGAGGCCAGAGCCCTGTTGTGTCCCTGCACAACCACAAAGGAGTAAAGCCCTGCTGAGAGGCTGCAGGAGGTGGCACAGGCTCCCCCAGTGTGGCCCCTCTTGAGGCCAGTGCCCCCTTGCCCAGCCCTGAACTCTTAACATCTCCTGTTCCTCCTCAGTAGCTCAGTTTCCGTTTGCAAGAAGAAATTCCGTGCACCCACCCCCAGCTGCTTTGGAGCTTCACTTCTGAGGAGCCGTTTTTCTCTTGGTCCCCTCTGGACCCACTCCCCGGCTGGGTTTGCAGTGCTGGGATCTGATCCCCTTGCTCCCCATGGATTGAGGGGGGCTGCCCTTCTGCTTTTCCCCCAGCACAAGTGCTTGGCCCTCAGAGGTGACCTGGCTCTGGTGCCACGCTCATCATTCCTGTGTGGCTGGCACGACAGGAGGGACAGGGACAGGGTGCAGGCACCAGGCCAGCCAGGCAGGGCTGTGCAGGTTGGAGATCTTCTGTCGTCAGACCCTCAGATGAGGGGTTTCACCTGCTTGGTTTGAAATGGCATCAGAAATGAAGTCACCAAACTGGAAGTGAAGGTGACAGGTCCGTGTCTGCCTGCTTTGGGGAAGAAAACTCTTAAAAATGAAGTGTTGACACACTTGGATGGAGGGTCACTCCTGACAGTGAAGCTGCTTGTGACTTCTAGGAAGAAGAGTCTGTTTTGGTGCCAGCCAGGACACCTCTGATTTTGGTTTGTTTGGTTTTTTTACCCAAGAGGGTCCAGGGCAGAAGCATCCAAGAAATGAGCAGACTTGGGCATTTCTATTCTCTTTCTGCAGATTATATGGTGGTAGGTAACACTGCAGCTGGAGACTGTGCCCTGTTTCATGGTTTGGGGTTTTTTTCCCTCTCACCTATTGTCCCTTTCTGTTTAAGACAAAAACTGAGAAGCACATGTGATCCTGAAATATAAAGACCCTCTTAGTTTGCTAATGGCTTGGAATACAATGGGAAAACTTACTCATTTGCCTTGTGCAAAATCATTACAATTCCTCATTGCTGTGGTTTCTGGAATTGGAGAGTAAATCTCAGATGCTGAAAACATGCACAACTCAGCCCAGTTTTAATGCGGAGGAACTGGCTGGTACCCAGAGCCCCAGGCCCTGTGGAGAGGTTCCAGCCATCAGCACATCCCTGCAGACTCCCAAAACAGGTCCTGAAATGCAAGTAGCCTCTTTGCAGCACAGAGCACTCTCCTTGTCATGGGAAACACCCCCAAGAACTTGTCCTGTGTGGTGAGGAACACCTCACTCAACCAAGAAAAGGAAATAGCTTTCTGAAAGCCAACACCAGACCAAAGCTGGTTTTCTGAAAAGGTTGGTGCCCTGGATCCTCTTCACTGGAATTTTGTCCTTTGGAGGGTGCAAAAAGGTTTAACGGGTTCTTTTTTGCTGTGCCCAAAACCCATTAAAAAAAAAATAAAATCAACTCTTTGGCAGCTGAGTTGCATAATTGCAATATTTTCGTGAGAAATGTAGCAATTCAGGACTGCACCATGAAGACTCACAGGAGTTTCAGTTCAGCTCTTCTCTTGTGCAAGAGGTATCTGCATTCTTGTGCCTCTGCAGGCTGGAAGGCTTCAGGAACAGAGAGCTCTTTGAAAAGCAAGGCCAGACCAGTGTGTGTCTCCTAAGGGGCACGTTTCATGGAGACAGCCTGAGCCAGTTGTTGTCCCACAGCCCTGCGTGGCTGGTGTGTCACCGCTGGGACCGAGCGCCGGCACGGGGCTGTACGGGAGGAGCCCAGGTTGGTTGTGGATGTGGAGGCCAGGTAGGGCCTGTCCTGGAAGCACCAGGCAGAGCAGGCTGTTGATCAGACCTATGTGAATCCTTTTCCCCAGGGGAAAGGCTGCAGGTCTTCCTGGGCTGTGTGAGGTGCTTCACCCAAATCTTGCACAGATTTTTTTCTTCTGAGCAGCTGTGAATGAAATCCATCCCTGTCAAAATGTATCTCCTTCTCCAATGGTGAGCCCTCTTTCTCTAGGTTTGCTGTTTCTTTTACACGATTCTGGATGCTGCTGCTTTTTCTTCTTCCCATCCTGGGCAGATTGCTGTGCTGCAGCACATTTTTATTTTCAAGGACTGGAGTGAGCCTTCTCCTCAGGAACATGGAACCCTCTTTTAAAACTTCTTTTAATATATATAAACCAGAGCTCTCTTGATTTTCCAACTTGTCCAAGGTCTAACTTAAGGCTAAGGCCTTGTCCAGGGCCTTGGAAACCTGTTCAGACATTGGGTTTGCAATGCCTTGAGTGGCACTTTTAACATGCAACTGAACAATGCAGGTCCAGTGTCCACCCCATGGCCAAGGGCTTGGACGGGGCTCCTCATCTCACCAGGGGATGATGGTTCCTGGCTGTTCTGAGGTGCTAGACCCAGTGGCTCCCAGGATGGCTCCCAGAGCCAGCAGCAGCATGACCCAGGAGCCTGGATCAGCCTCTCCTGCCCCACACACCACAGCCTTGGAGACTGTGCTTGGAGACCCTGGATAAGAGCAGGGGCTGATGGTGAGAGCGGGGTCTGATGGTGGGAGCAGGGCCTGGCACAGACCCAGCACCTCCCAGCACCCTGGAGCAAAGGGCTGGGCCAGCCCTGCCAGCAGTGGGACAGCCCCTGGTCCTGGGGCAGCACCAGCAGCCGC